ATAAAAGAAAAGAAACATGTCTTTACTTCGTGAAGACAAAATGGCGGCGGGAAAAAAAATAGAGGGTTGCTGTAGAGAGTTGGTTGCCAAATTTTCGCGAAAAAATCGCCAAGTTACCATAATGTAAATCAACCAATCAGCATTATATTTTCAAAATAACGCTAAGTTTATATTATAAATAATATAACTTTGAAAATATAACACTGATTTTTGTTGTTTATCTTCTGAATTAGTATTTTCAACAGGTCAAGGAACTTTCAAATTTACGCTTTTTCTTTTTTGTATTACCCTTCATCAAATGACAAACATTTAACTGCAATTCTTTTATAATATACTGAGAAGTTTTACTTTAAGAGAAACGAGTGCCTATTTATATTGTGAAAAAAATATTATTTGAAAACTTCACCTTTTGATGCTGGGAATAAAATATAAGCATTATACAGTACAAAGTCCGAAATCCGGAATGATCTAAAATCCGGACGTCAAATATCCGAAATGATCTGAAATCTGGACCTCAAAACCACAAACATCGTTTTCTCGTATGCTTTACACATGCACATTGATTCCCCACCTCCGCGCATAATAAAACATGTGAAGAGTCTATTCTTAATTTTACTTTGACACTAAATAAAATACATGGGTATTGAAGAAACAATCATTTTAGCATAAATTTGTACAATCAGTAATTTGGCTGCATTGCTGCGTATCTGCTTTGGCACAAATCTCAAACTGATACATAGATACATCTTTGATCTGATGCAAACCTGGCGAAATTATTATTTATGTGTATTATACTTTCCTTTCATCACAACATGTTTATCCACACATGACAACTTGAGTAATAACTCACGTAACGATGCCTAAAAAATTTTTTTATGTTAGCAGTTGAATAATAAAGGAGTATGGTAACCTTTTATGTTGACACTACGCTTGGCGATGATTACAGATTTAAGTTAAATGCGCTAAAATATGTTAACGAGGAAAAATTTAACAAAAATTTCTTTCCATATGCTAAAAATAGATTTTGTTGATGATAATAATTAGACCCAAAGATAACATTTAGGGCTATTTGAATTAAGAATAACTGATTTTTTATTCACATAAATCCAGAACCAGCGTCACCAGGCTCGTATGGCCGCATAGAGGTCGCAGAATTTAGGAACCCACAGAGACTGCATCAGGCGGTAAAATATCTAGCGTCTGCCCTCAATAAGGCTTAAATATATGTGGGAATTTATTTATTCAGAACTCTGATAAGCCTTAAGCTGTAAGAAATAGACATAACTATAATAAATAACTAAACTAATACAATTCAGGCTTAATTGTCTCAGTGCCGCGGTAGAAGCAAGATAAAATTTAACGGAACAACTTGTCATTAGTCGCCAAGCTCATGATGCATAGCCAAATAATAGCAAACTACAACTAAATTTGATGATGATAGCCATGAATTTTAAAGGTTTTCGGATATCGCAAAACGAAAGGTGAAATTTTCCAATTAACAGATTTTGTGAAGAAATTTGGAAAAGTGGTAATAAATGAAGATGATATAAAAGAAGTTTTTCATTGTGATGACAGTGCGTCTCAATCATCAATCAGTTAATGAATAGCGAAATTAGTATGGTTCTAGATCCAGAAAATACCACTACCGTTAGTGAGGAAAATGACAGGGAAGTTACTAAAATCGAAAAAAATTTCCAATTGATAAGTTAGTCAGAATTCTCGACACAGCAGTTACAGGACTTCAACAATGTAACTAAACAAGAGATTATGTCTGTCTACATATTATTTATAAATTATATGGCTACTATATTATTTACATTCTAAAGTATTAGCACAAAAAACGAAGCAAATCAAACAATTTACATTGAAAGAAATATTTAATAAGGTAAACAAATAAATATTAAGCTTTTTTTTTGTAAAATTTTATACCCTTTAGATCATAAATACCTGATCATTTCATAAATCACAATTTCATATCTTTAATTTTATAATTTCTACATGCCATCTTACTAGATTTAAACTGATGATCTAATAAACAGAAAAATCCCATCTAGAATCGCCGAAGTCCCAATGAGTCCGGACTTTGTACTGTATTATTCCTGTCGTTTTACTTCAACTTTATGGAAAAGATAAAACATTCACCCCTCCCATCAAATTTATTTGAAATTATTTGTGTTTATATTGTTTTGCATATAAAATAATGTGTAATAAATAGATATATCTGAATATGAGATTTTTGGGATAGGAGCCAGCATTCATGCAAATCTTCATGTCTATATAGGCCTAAGTAAGTCACATATAGGCCTAAGTGAAAGGTTCGCAATGCCACCACTAGCTAGCACTGGAAACAAAGCAAAAAGCGAGTTGTTATCCAGTTCCCTTGATTACCTTATACTAGATGCATACAGTACAAAGTCTGTAATTTGGACGTCCATTATCCAGAATGACCTATAATCCGGACTTCAAACCACAAACATTTTTTTTTTTTTTGGTATGCTTTACGCATGCGTGTTGGGAGAATGTGTCTCCTGATACGTTAAAAAACGCTTGGCATAATTTATGGCCAGCTGCCATATTTCATTGTGAGGACGATGAAGATGATAGCCGCGAATTTGAAGGTTTTCGGACATTGCAAACTAAAGGTGAAATTTTCCAGTTATTGGATTTTGTAAAGAAATGTGGAGAAGGGTAATAAATGAAGATGATACAGTCAAAATTCTTTAATCCGGACTGTCAACGCATGCGCGTTTAATGTATAACGGACAGTATAAGCTAAACTAAAAATATCTATTTCAGTTAATGTTGCAGATTGTGCTGTTCCTTAATCTTCTAATTGGATCCGGCTTATAATTTTTTGCAAACTGTTAGAGCAATTTTATAAAAGTAAGCTTGAACTTTCGATTATGTCAAAAAGAATTTCCGATTCTGGAGCTGCTAAAGGAGCTACAAAACGAAAGCATGTTTCGATGTCCATCAAACCAAAAGTGGAATTACTGCAAAAAATGGATAAAGGCATATCCTTTTGTTTCTCTAACCATTCTGAAATCTGTTTATCAATTTCACGCTGCTCTGCTGGTGCGGGTGAATGTCACGGCGCGTAATGAACTGGAAGTTGGATCTGTCAGCACTATCCTTATCTTCAGGGCTAATGTTTTTATTTTATTCGGCTTATAATTCCCTACTAAATGTAGTATTTCATCTCGATGTACTTTGATATGATTTAAATTCAATTCCTCGTCATAATAAATATCACAAATACACATCAAATAGTTTTCTGGTTGCAATTTTTTAATTTTGACTATGGGTAATGTATGCTTTGCGCATGCACACGTTGAAAGAAATGTTTAATTAAGTAAACAATAAAGATTAAGCTGTTTTTTTTTTTTTTTTTTTTTTTTTTGTAAATTTTGATACCTTTTTAGATCATAATTGCTCTGTATTTCATAAATTACCATTTCATATTTTTAATTTTATAATTTCTGCATGCCATGTTACCAGATTTAAACTGATGATCTCAAATCCCGAAAACCGATAATCCGGAATCGCCGAAGTCCCGATGAGTCCAAATTAAAGACTTTTGACTGTATAAGAGAAGTTTTTCATTGCGAAGACAATGCCCCAATCATTGCAATAATTAAGCTTGATAAATCTAGTTTTTTTCTTTAAATTTTTTCATATATTTGTATTATGTTTTATACAGTTTTTATTTATTTTTTATGCAATACAGTGCATAAAAAATGAATAAAAACTGTATAACATGTAATTCATTTTTTATTTAAAAACATATAATTTAAAACTGAGGTTATTGTTTGGGGACTGGAATGGATTAATGGTGTCTAAATTTTTCTTCAAGAATGAAGCTGTTTTAGGATGAGTAGATCGGATTAGAAACTCGGTCGCAGAGCAAATTAAAAGTAACACTGTATTAAAAGTTTAAGTGTAAATCTTTAGAAAATATATCCTATCAGAGAATCACTGTACAATTTTGCTTGGTTTATTAATACATTTTAGTATCTCTCCAGGTATAATGCACTAACTATATTAATTATTGATTGACCCAGGTAATGAAAAGGTTTATTCCATTAGCACAGTTTAGAAATATGCATTGTAAGCTGGACTTCCTTCCAGGCCCATATGTAATTATATTTGGTTTTTTGTATATTAAAAAGCATTTTAATTTTAAACATTTTTTGCTCTCCTACAATTTTTTCAATAAAACTAATACACTGTTGAATATGAATGAAATGTATCAGCATAAGGTTGATAATCTGTAATTATTAATTTGAAATTGTTTCAGTGCCTCGTCTAATTTGAGTTCCCAAAGCATGAATTCATCATGCTCCACGGATTTCAAGCAGCTAGATGTGCAAGCTAAAATTTCATACAAGAAGAAACAGCTTCTGAGTCTACCTTGCTTTATGTTAATATGAATTGCAATTCTGGTAGATTAAAAACTGTTATTTTTATACATCATGTTTAGATGACGAAAATTTTTTTATTTATATACATGTGCTAATTTACAAAAATATGTTTAAATAATAATAAAAAAATCTAATCTTCTCAAATGCACATGTATATATTCCAAATACAAAGCAAAATAGTGAAACAAATTTTAAAATATTTTCAGTAAAATATGCACAGTGAGGATTGAGATTACTATTTAATAATGAATTTTTTATTTATTTTCAGATTGGAAAAAAAAATGATTATTATCGACAAAGGCCATTGCTTCTGTCCTTGAAACACAAGAGCACAACAACATCAATGCTGTTTATATTCAAAACGTTGAACGTACTTTGTCTAACAAGAAATTAAACATTTCATTCAAGACTTGTACACTACTTACATTTCCTGAGCAAAACTAATTCCTTAAATTTCTTATGAACATGCAATCTTAAATTCAGTAAATACAAAGTTTATTTGAAAAAAAAAAACTCATGTATATTCATATTATATTAATTATATAAATCTCATCACCTATGATTGTAAAAACAGTAGACATTTTTTTTAATAACAAATACTAGGAAGGTCTTATATAAACGCACTTGAGTTTACTTTGGTAACTTAGACAATTAGTGTGATGTGAATTGTGCATATTATTAAGGCTAACTGTTTCCTTCTTATCTACACAGATTAATTATATCATATAGCTATACTTTTTTGATTTCATCAGTCATTTTCTCCCTCATATATGCCATTCTAAAGTAAATTTTTAGTATGCATTCTCTGATGTTGAAAAATATTCATTTTTTACACATATACAGACAAAATAAAATATAATTAGATAAATAAAAGAAAATTTACATAAATTATATGGCAATATACATATAAATAAGAAAGGAAGCTTGAAACCTAGTAAAAGTGTGCATAATATTTGTAAATTTTATTTTTTTGAAACTGTAGCATACTGCCATGGTACTGCCCCTTCTCTTGTAAAGTAACTGGTGTATGCAATACGAACAGCAGCTGCATTCCTGCTGTACATATTTGAGGCAGAACGAGACACTTTGCTTAAATTCTGTATGTTCTCGTCTCTCCATCGGCCTTTTAGAATACTGCCACTGCCATCATCCGTATCTGTGAAACCAGGGCAATATTGTCGTTCTTTTGCTGGCATCTGTTCCTCTTTACATTATAAATAATTGTGCAAGCAGACAGAGGCCTTCACAATAAGACCAGCCACAATTGTTTTGCGCAGAATTCGGAATCTGGCAGCCATGATTCCAAATGCGTTCTCAACGCATCTTCGTGCTCTCGATAGTATACTTTTCTGTATTTAGTTCTTGACCAGAATATGGTCGCATTAAATTTCTTTTAAAGGGAAAAGCTTCATCCCCAATAAAAGTGTATGGCAATAAATATTGTGATCCATGAGCTGGAGAACTTTTAGGTGAGTTCAGTGCTTCTTCATGAACAGCTTTACCGAAGGTGGAATTGACAAAATTCCTCCATCACTCAGCTCCGATGTCAACAATTATGAATTTATATTTCGCATCAGCTATGGCCATCAAAACTATACTGAATGAACCTTTGTAATTATAGTAGGAAGATCCAGACCATGGTGGAGCCTGTAATGAATTTAATTTTGCTTAGGAATACATGCCATAATAGTTCAAAAAATAAAATTTTGACATCCATTTTAATAACATAAATGACACTGCAAACTTTTAACAATATATTTGTTAAAATTATTTATAAACTAAAAAAAGTTTTCAGCTCAAGTGCCATTTTTTAAAGTATAGACTGATTAAAAAAAAAAAAAGAAAAACTAGGATTAATTTTATCATAAAATAAGGAACTACTGCAAATTAAAGTTAGAATTTTATCTTATACACATTTACATACACGCACACATATACATGTAATAAAAACTTTTCATAACCTACTTATGGGAGTAGTGTGTGAAAGTTACATTTATTTCACAACAGTTATATATACCTGAATGATGACATGCTTTCCATCAATGGATCCAAGGCACTGAGGGAACTGCCACAAAGCTTCATATTCCTAGGCAATCCACAGCCACTTTTCTTCACTTAGAACTTCCAAAACTGTAATACATTGCACAAAGCTGCACAAGTGTCTCTTATTATGAGGGAGACTGTGGACTTTCCCATTTGAAATGCAAATGACAAGCTTGTCATTATATCTCCACTGGCAAGAAATCTTAAAAATGTGTAAAAAATGTCATGTACTATCATATAAATTTTACAGTAATATATTTACAAATCACAAAATAAATGATTTATTAATCATGTTAAATTACATTTTACCCCTCTCATAAAGCAAAAGCTGAAGGTCATGTCACTAATAGCAGTAGCATTTTTTCGACATGGTCTCATAAATAGAGTAGAATTATTCGTTAAAGAATGTGCAGCTCATTACAGTAAGCATTTGCTTTAATAAGCTTTTGTTAGTATGTTTATAATTTTCTGTCAATTCTTCAATTCTGTTAAGAGCTAGAACAATGACACATTTGTACAGCACAAAAATGGAATAATTCAATATATTTTTATCGCATTCCGTAAATCATTCCGTATCGCATTCCTTTACTTCTGATCAGTTAAAGAGTGGAGTGAATTAGAAATAAAGATATTCTATAGATCTACAAGAGTTTATCGGTTTTGTATCTAATAAGAAAAACCAAGATAAATTTTGACCAGCTCGGACATTGAAGAAAATTCATAGAGAGAAGAATGCCAAGTTTTCAGAAGTTTTAACCAGGGCTGTAAAGTCAGAGTCGGGTAGATTTTTGGGTAAAAGGAGTCAGAGTTGGAGTTGCTAAAAAACACATCGACTCCGACTCCGAATTAAAGTGAATTGAAAAACAAATTAATGACAAACTGAGTTAATATTTTTATTTATGGACTATATACATTAATAAATAGTTATTTTCTATTTTATTGACATATTAGTAAATAAATATAAGGGAGTAGAATGGATGTGATATTTTCCATTATTGATTCAAGCTGATTCATTTAGTTACTAATCTCATTGGTGAATTCAGGTAAGCAGCAAAACTCCCAAAATTGATCCCATTCTTAGGAAGCGAGCAGGAAAAAGAGCAATTATTGATCAAGCAACATGATAAGGAAGTACATATTTGATGATAAGTGTTTGTTAGAATTAAGAACTTTTTCAGAAGATGTAAATAACCCTAATATTTCACTAACAGAAAGACTGTGGAATGATCTTGCAGAACTGGAAATCCTTCTTTCAACACGATATATAGCCACAAAAAGGCTACATTCTGAAGAATTCACAAGAGGCTAGACTGGAAGAATGCAATGTTTGTTCTTTCTGAAATGGACGGTTTATTGCAGAAAGAATCATTTTTTCAATGAAGAAAAGAGAAACTAGTTTGCTAGACAATAAGATCGCGCTGTGTTGAATATGTGTAGATCAAAAACGCGGAAATTTTTGGATGACAAACAAATTAAAAAGGCAAAGAAAGCCATCTATGAACTTTCATTAAGAAATGAAATTATTCTCAGAACAACTGGAGTATTCAAATCAGGACAGACAAACTGCAGATACTGCAAATGAGTCTCTATCATCTTCTTCCACTGATAAATCAGAGTTTGAGAAATATTTGGTTAATATTGAAAAGGCTAGGGCAAAGCGAATGAAAATAAGAACCAAGAGCCGTTAGATATAAAAATGAAAAAATACAAACAAGATTTAAACAGCCTTTGAAGAAATAGATAAATATGATTGCTCTTGCAAGACACATCTTTTAGAATTTAATAAAATGTATCCTAAAAAGATAAAGGAAGTAACAGTAACAGCTCTTCTTCCTACTCAAGTCAGCATGGAAAGACTCTTCTCAGTTCTGAAGTTTATCAAATCGGATTTATGGTCCTCTAACAAAGAAGATCTTCCCAAAGTTTTACTTTTCCTTAGAAATTACTAATGCCAGTTTTTCCATTTCATAATAAATGCTAATTAATATAAAAAATTTGCTATGAATCAGTTTTTATCTTAGCATCTACTACTTCTTTTATATCAAAAAATAAGCTGTAACCCATGTTTATGGGTTTACATATATATGAAGGAGTTGGTCATTTTCCCTAGTGACTCCACAGCCCTGGTTTTAACAAAGTTAGAATCACATGAATGAGGTGTAAAAAATAATGTCTTTTATTTAAGAACAGGTTACTTAGCAACTCAAACTAAATATAATTCTATACAAAGGTTGCCCTCGTAGCATTTAGGCCTGCACAAAAAAGTTTTTTCATCATCCTAACCTAAAAATTCAAAATTTAAAAATCACAATAGAATGTTTTGCAAAAAAGTACTTAATGGTATGATGAAATAATTTGCAATATTGCACACAACACCTCTGTGCATTCAGTTATGTGGTTGGTCATCCTACTCCCTCCCTCAAAGCTGGCCACTACTATTTCTATCCAACATATAAACAATCAATGGAAGAGAAACATACCGATATATTATATAAAAATAGGTAAAACAACAATCTTAATTTGGAGGAAATTTTGAATGTTAAATGAAAAAACATTAATGTTTGTACATATAATCAGCTTAAAATTCACTAGAATTCCCATCAGTGAATAAGATTTCATTAGAAAGCAAAACCTTTTGACATTCTCATAGGCGTTTTCTGAATGCATGATACTTTTCCACTTGCTTGCATCCATTTAACATGTCACAGCTCACTTCTTTGTATTAACTATTATCTTGAAATGTAAACTTACAAAAAAACATAGGGTGCAGATTGTGTCCATGATGGATTATTTTGTCTTACAGCTACGTCTGTCTGCAAGTGCCATCATTCTATCATAAATATCTTTCATTTAAATTTCAATAAGGAACTCATAGTTAAGGCAGGACAAAGGAGAGGGTGATCACCATTTATGAAGCCAGGATTGCAGAAAATGGGAGTATATAATAATATCAATAAAATGCTCAAAGGAAGAAAAATGTCCATAAAAAAATTTAAAAAAAAAACTGCTTGATAATCTATCAAAATTGATAGTCTATCTAACTGGAACTCTCTTAATTCTTTTTAAATGATTAGTTTTTAAATGCTTTAAAAATTATTGAAGGAAATATCAAATCGAACAGTCTAAATGAAATACTGTTAGACAACTGTTAAAAATATATAAATTATTTAAAAGAAAATTCTCAAGTTTATTAATAATAATAAATCATAATTTTCATTCATAAATGAGATATAGTCAATAATTTATACAAAATAATCTAAAGATTGTTGCAAGTAAATAATGCTAGATTTCAAGATTCTTTATTTTGAACTTTACATAGAATCTACACAGTTTAAGTTTCCTTTTCTAAATTAGAGTTCTTAATGTTTAATAACTTGTGAATATTAAGCAATTTGTTTAAAAATTTTACGATGACTTTTACTTATACAGAAAGGAAGCTTGGCAGAATGTGACATTTAAATTAAGAGAAAATTCAAATCTGAATTGATGCTGATTTTATGAAATACTTCTATACATTGTGATCACACCTTGTCTGTTTTCCTCAAAATGCAAGATCAGTTTTGACTCAAATTTTATAAAAACAAAGCCAAAGGTTTAACTTGGGTGACAATCTTTTATTAAAGAACACCTGAGCATTGACAAATTTATTAATATGGGAATTAATTATTCAAAACAAAAACTGCCAGCTATTTTATAAGGAAAAATGATATAAAATACAATTCCTTCAATAAGTTTTATATAAAATTGACTAATTTTAAACAGTGACATTAATATATAACTAATTGGGGTAATTACAATTACATTCAAGAATAAAAAAATATAAACGTAAGGCAGAAAATATGTTTTAATAAAAAGTTGTATAATTTTTTTATTACATGCCTTGTCCAAGTATAATATTTGGTAACTCTATAAATCTTGCACGCATTATACCAAAATATGTTTTAATTAGATTAACTAAATCAAATTTGAGGGAAGTACACGCATTATGTAAATATTTTATATGCAGTGCTGTTTCTTATGGAAAACTTGACCTCAGAAGTTAAAAAATGCAATTAAAAATTTTTAATTGACATTCAGAAATTTCGCAAATAAACTATGTTAGATTTATACATACCTTAATGTTACAGCCAAACGATCTTTTTCTGGAATACTTTAACGATAATTAGTATTTTTCTTCTGTATAGATGGTCCAATTAGTGCTAACAATTCCTCCAACTGACCAGGCGACATGCGAAAATAATTAAAAGACTTTCAATATCATTCAGTCTCATATCTTCAATTAAATTATTTGCATATCCTTGTTGCAGTCGTCTCTCAAATATGGTCGAACCCACCATCTTCTATTTCTTTTTCTTCGTAATGCAAGAAGCAAAATTAGTTTCAATTTAGCTGAAACAGGATCCACTTTTACTTAAATTACACAGCCCTAAAAGAATCGGACGCGAACAAAACTCTAAGCCCGGGAATTTTTGGCGGGTACGAAAAACAGGAAGTACGTTTTCCCCCAAGTTTTCGATATTCTATGATGGGTTTTCATCCGCAGAGAACCCGTTGGCGCCGTTGCATTTTTACTCGCGATGAGCCGAGCCGTAAACGTGGTTTTTAGTGTATGTAAATTCAAGTTAGCAGACAATGGTAATAAAAATTCACAGATAATAAGTTGTAGATGTAAAACTAACAGTTAAACGTGATATATACGAAAATAAATTTGTATAAATTCAAGTTAGCACAGAAACAATGTATTAAGCATAACGGGAAGTAGAAATTCCTTTAAAATAAAAATAGTATTGTTATACTACGTTTACATTATACTTATATGTATTTTCCCCTAATTCATATAGAATACTATTCTATTACAATATCATTTTTCATTATTAATCTTGGCCTGTTGATTGAGTATTTCGGTAAGCCATGCCATGTAATAAATTAATGAATGCATGACCTTTAATACATCCATTTTACATAGTTTTCAGTAATTTTTTTTTTTTTTTTTTTTTTTTTTTTTTTTTTTTTTTCAAGTTACTTGCATACAGCTTAAAGCATTTTAACGTTGCAACAAATACCTGTCATTTTTCATAGTATATTTCCAATACAATAACCTTCAACAGTAATGAAATTTCTTCTTAGGCATTGTTAAGTTAATAAACTATAACTTTATACTTTAAAAATTATTTAGGATTTGGAAACCTCATGATTCTGCTCATGGTTCTTAAGAGCTATTAATAATTAAGAGCACAACGTGAACAGCCTTGTTACAAATTAGCATTCACTCCTCCCGCCGTATTTTCTTCCTTTCATCCCCGAAGAGAACCGGCATCTATCTACGAAAATATTTCATCTATTCATTGTTAAAAAATTCAGAAAAAATAATAATAAATAAGAGATGAATAATATAAATCTGCAAATGCGAACAACAACAGTGATAATTC